TATACTAAGGGGTTTTCCAAACGATGCGAGCAGTGTTAGAAGTATGACCCACTACAATGCCAATCGACTCACAAGCTACGGTCATTGTCGATGCTTGAACTTTCGCCATCTAGGGACTCATCATCCTAAGGTCATTTCTTCCTTTGAAAAGCCAACATAAATTATTTTTAGTTACCGTGGAGTACTTTCCAAGGAAGATAGAAGCTAAGGTCCTTGCTTATATTACTACAGACATCATCTAAAACTTCATCTAGACAGACATCATCTATTCTTATGGCTTCCCGTAATACTTATCACCAATAATAAGACACAATTAATTAATCAGGGGGTAAAGAAATTCTGCCAAAGTTAGGGAATCAACTTTAAATTTTCATTTGCACATCATCCCTAGATGAATGGACAAGCTGAGGTTTTCAACAAGATTATTTTAAATTTACTGAGGAAGAAATTTGAAGGAGCGGAATTCAACTGGGCAAACTTGCTTCCATCGATCCTATGGCCATTTAGATAACATCATCATCAGCAATTGGGAAAACCTCTTACATGCTTTCCAATGAGATGGAAGCAATGTTGCTAGTGGAGTATAACAACCATAGCTATAGAGTTCTCACATCCACACATTTGATGAGGAGAATCTCACTAATTAGCACGAGGCTAAAAATGAAGAAATGATGCTTGCACTGGACCTACAAAAAGAAAATCAAACCGATGCAGTACATATAAGAAGTATTAAAGAGTAGGTCTGCTTGACACTACAACAAGAATGCCTGAGAAAAAAACATTCACACACGACAAACTTGTCTTAAGGAAAGCTGACCCAGTAGCATGAGTGTTAGTGGTTAGAAAACTCAATTGGACTTGGACTGACCCATTCATATTGATTAAGAAGTCACCCTGAAAATATATACCTAAGTTCATCAAATATGTTTTTTGATCGATCAAAATTAATTCACTAATGACAGTGTTTTGAATGACATATGTTGTTTTAAAAATATAGTGAATTAATTCTAAACCTAAAAATGGTCCTGACCATCGGTCATCACTTCCCCATGGATGCGGAAGCAGTCTCTCCTACGTCCTTCTTCATCCACTACTCCTTTTGTGACAGCTGCACAACCTTTTCAATCTACCATCTATCCTTTTCCTCTTCTGAAGCAACCAACAACTCAAGGATCATGGCACCAAACTATGCATGGTTCAGCACTGGGCTCACTGTCATGGAACCAATGTATTGGATGACTGATAGATTCCCACTATAATTGAAGCATGCCCCAAGGCCCATTGCAGAACTCACTTTATGTTTTTGTACGACTCTCTAGTTGGCCTTGTAGTGATCTCCCAGTTCTTACAGACACCCTATAGGAACATAAACTTTCAATCCTTGATTTTGTTCTCTAGACCGATCAGATAAAAATTTTAGGTTGAACTAAAGACAACGTAATCGTTAGACTCTACTCTAAAAGTGAAATTATATGAAAATAGCTCCCAAAACCAGGGGATCTCCATCCGTTGCAAGTAGATAACAAACCTCATCACTGTTGCGATTGAATTGGACTTGATTTATGTGATGATGACTTTGTATGGTTGAGATTTGACCATATCTCATAACATATCCATAGTCAAAACCCTCACCGAAATTGATCTCAGCAGAAGATCAAATCATTTCCAAGTGGCCCTTGCCTTTAGTTCCATTGCCTCAAGCTCTACGCTTATGTCATATACACAAATGTCTTCCAAAATCTTTGTGTCAAACGACGTTAATATAGACTTTCAGTCACTGAAAAAAAAACCAAATAATTTTGGAGAATACATGGAAGACATTAGACGTGATTAAGGAAAACCAATCCAATGAAGAGATAAGAAATGTATGGAGAGAAAAAAAAAGACATTAAAAAAGTGTAAACCCCATTTTCCCTTTGACCGTTATATATAGAGTATCCAGGGAATTCAAAACACCTCAAATTTATATCTATTGATCTAGAAATTCACATTAGGTTAGCAAAAAATTCAACAAAAGGAAATGAAATAATAATTTTTAAATTCACAAAAATTAAATTTTAATTTACAATAGAAAATATTTTACTCTCGTATTTTTGGCCACCTCTGGCTATATAATACGCTGATTCATTAAACTATGGTATAATGCACGATCCCCAAACTTAAACTTCTCAAAGCTCTGTTCCTTTACCTAGATCTAAGAGATTGAACTAGACGCTCGAAACTACATCAACTCCATCTATAGAATTGCTCTGTCCACTTGGAGAGCTACAAACCCGGCCATATATTCCTTGCAAAGAGCCCCCAATTTTTCCTTCAGGTATGTTATGACAATCTCCCTTTATAGGCCAACTTAGGTGAAGGAGTCCAAAGTTTCATCCAACCAGCGAGCCAACAAAGTTGGACGACATCGTTGATTATTCGTTTTCTTCTCAACGTCAGCAAGGCCAGACAAACGACCAAGTGCGCCTCCGTCATGGACCGGAATAGATGGTCCCTTTATTGACTCTAGAGTAGAGGGATGATTGGCTTTCAATATCGCTGAGTCAATAATCTGCACGGTATCCTCTACAAGAATAATCAATTTTTATTTTAAAAAGAATATGATAAAAACAACAAATCTTTTGAGTAAAAGAAATTGATTTTTCTTGAACGAATAATTCTCTCCATTTCAGACGATTGGAGACTCTGACCAAGCTATTGGAAAACTATCTGGCCTGTCTCATCGATCAAAGGAAAGGGAGCTACACCTTTACGTGACAGGACCTAGGTCTTTGTGACCACCTGGAGTAGTTGTTGAGTCAGCCACTTACGAATCAGTATCATGACTTCAGCCTTTCTCCCATCTCATGATGGAGTGACATCAAGTCGAACAACTCATCTGCTTCCTCCACCCTTTATTTTTCTTGGATCTCTTAAATGACTTGCTTCTCTCCTTTAGTTGACTCACCCCTTTCTTCTCTTTGAGCTGATTGACCAGTATTCTCCCTCCAACCTCCTTGACACCACTAGTCATCCCTCATCTCCCAACTTTTTATTTATAATGGGTCAACTAATCTCTGGTTTCTTCTTCTCTCCCGCGTCCTCGCGAGAGCAGAGTTTTTAGTTGAAATGTTCGAAGGCCTTCATCATGGCTGCCTCATTTACATAATTCTTACTACTCACCATAAGTCCCTTTTGTTAATAATTGACTGAAGGGCATGATTCAAAAAGTGTGATGGAGAAGTGCTGATCATGCCCTATTTATAGGGATTGTAGACACTAAAATCTAAAAGTTTGATTATTAAAAGTACTTTTAAGCATTAAATAAGTCAATTTTTGCATTTAATTCTCTTATTCTTATCACAATAATCACATTAAAAAGTATGAGAATTATGAAACTAAATATGTACATAACAAAATTGACCACGCGAATCTTGAGTAAATCCCACGGGTTTTGCTTACGAACACCAAAAGACAGGTTATCAAGATAGTTAAAAGCGGAAACACTAAATGTCATTTCCTTCGATCGGAACTCATAGCCGATTGAACAAAAGCATAACCAAACATATGAATGGAAGACACCTAATTCGAGGGACAATCATTTGTAACCAACTCTTTTAAGTGATTCCATACTTCTTTATGAAGATAACCAACGGGCACCTCGCAGAACACCGTTATTATCCTTTGAGAAGATCCCTTGTCCAAGGAGAGCTGCCCGTCGGGTTCGTTCCAACTTCAAGTTGGTTTCTACTTAGGATTCCATTCCGAAGGCCCACCGGTGACCTTTCAGTCAACCAAATGTATGCCGACCGACCAAATGTTTCAGCCGATCGATTGACAAGAGTAATAAATCCTTAAATTCCAACCTCCACCCCCCCCCCCCCCCCCCCCCCCCGCGCCAAGCAGTTATGTATACGAAACAATGCCAATGTCAGTTATGAATGTGAAAGGGTGTTTGAGTTGATTACAAATATGAAAAAGGTGTAATAATGACTTGTAACATTCTAACTAAAGTAAGGACAAACATGTAATTTTACCAGATACCCCTGAAACCTATAAATAGGATGTTATTTCTTCAATAAATAACTACAAAATTTAATTTATCAAAACATGTGTTACTATGCTCTTAATCCCTCTCTCAATCTCTCCGTTTCTCTCGACTAGCGAGATAGCACGAGCTACACCCAATAAATGATTTGTAAATTGAGTTCAATGAGCTAAAAAATCAAGGGTGAGCTAATCCCCACTCAACTCATTAGTTTGTAAGCCGATTAATTAAAAAGTATTAATATAAAATATACAATTAAATATATTGAAAAATTTGAGTTTAACTAATTAAAAATATTAAAACCATCTTTATATCAAGTGATTATTTGACTTTTTTAATAACTTAACTGTATTATTATTTTATTTAAAATAATTATTTGAATCAAAAATATTTTTCTTTTAATAATGAAAAAGTTGATTTGAACTCAAACTAAGCTCATGTTCATGATAATTCATCAAATTTAAGCTTCAATTCAAGCTTAATTCTGCTCTTTACTTGCTTCAAACATATGCAAAACATTTATTTAGGCGGTGTTTGGGTGGAACTTAGGTTTACATTAAGTAGGGTTTATAAAATTAAAAACTGACAAAATGTGGGAATGTTCATTTTAATAAAGTATTGAATTTAATTTTAAATTTTTTGATATTTGATTGAATTTAAATTAAATCCATTCACAAATCTTATTATTAATAGGCTATCAAAGACCTGCCTCAAAACAGAGTTTAACAAAGTGCGACGTCGTTTTTGAAAACGTCGCATAATCGTTTTCTTTGTGCGTTTTTAAAAACGCTGTCTGCCGCGTTTAGATTTTTAACACTAAATACAGGCTACGGATCGACCCCATAGGTCATATTTTAGGATAATCTACTTACCCTTAAATATTAAAATACAAAAGCCGGCCCAAACAGACCGAAGATGTACTGTTGATGAAACTGTCATCCCTCCCTCCTGCTGGGAACCGCTCCTGCCATGCTTCATCCGGCCTTCGGGCGGGTTCACCATTGGACTCGTCGTTGCATGTTGATCTCGCCGCGGGTCGTAAATATATTTTGTACACCAACGAATCTAAACTCCGTCCGTGAACCGAACATTATTAATCAACGAATCTTTTTTCCTGGTGCCAGAAATCAGTAGTTTGTTATTCCTCTCCCTGGTATAGGCAGAGGAAGACGATGGATTCTCTTCCAATCCCGCTTAATTATTCGAACTGACCAGAGGCTTTTGGATTCTCTGTCCTTGTCTCGCAAGGCCGCTGAAAGTGATGGCACCTGATAGTTTAATTATTAGGGTGTCTTTATTGCACTGATCCTTCCTTTTCTTGAAAATTAAAACATCTGAAGCCGAGTGGAGAAGTTGATTTGCTAATAAGGAGAGGAAAGAATCGGTGGCGAGTCAGATTTTGGAGGCGCGGCCATTATATTGAGAAAGATCTTGCGAGATGATGCTGGGTCTAGAGTGCCGCTTCGGTTTTGTTAATCGCATAAGTGGTTCTGCGATGCTGTGCGAGTGGCATCTGCAGCAACTTTTACTAGGTTTATAGCACCACATATATTCATTGTCACTTTCCGGGGTTGGCCGAGTCATAATCAAGTATGTGATTTTAACTTCTTTGATTTACCCCTGCCTCTTTGATTCGTGATTGATCTTGTAGTTATTCTTCAGTAGAATTGAATTGCCATTTTATCAGATTGGATGCCGATTCGGGATTGATGTTGTAGTTAATTTTTGCTGGAATTGTTTTTTTCTCGTATAATTGTTTATTGTGTGTCTGATATAATGAGGTATACTCTTTCGATATATAAACTGAAAATCTGGAAGCTGAATCTGCATCCTGAAGGAAAGTTTTTTATTTAGACATTAAGTAACAAGATTGAACAATCCTTTTTTTTTTAATTTGTTGACTCACAGTTAATCATTGCTCTTCAGTTTTCCTCTCGTTTCACAAAGTGGGCATTCCTTGAAGTTGTAGTAAATTTTCTTTTTTCTATTTGTTTTAAGATAGGCTTTTTATGCCTGGGGAAACCTTTTCTCTTCCGCACCTGCTGGAAATGGGCTGTTGTGGTTGCTTTGGTTTCCTGAAGAAGTCCTCCCACAGATCTTTATTTTCAATCCGTAGCCTTGGAAGTCAAATTCCACCGGAGTTTTTTCTACCAGAAACATTTGAAGATGGTGATTGCATCTCATATAGTGGAGCTAGCGACGGAAGCACCAGGCTTCCTGCTAAAAAACCTGAAGAGATACTTCTTGCAAGGGCTCAAAGTGGATGGATTTGCAGGGAACTGCCTGTAAAGCAAACTTGGAAGGTTACAGTCTGTGAGGTAAATGTATATCCTACTCTGTAGCAACTTCAATTATCTGGTTTTGAGACTCTTAGATGAATTAGCATGGGTTATAAAAATGGCGTACTTATGGATGAAGCCCGATGCAGATGTACACAATCTTGTACTTGCATTACAAAGATGTTATTTTCATAACTCAAAACTTGTGACCTTCAGGTCACAATGAAGGAGACTTGATTATTTCTTTTGGGCCAACCTCTTTCGGATGAGAAGGGTTGCATGAAGAAATTGTTTGAAAATGTACATGTCTTTTCATATAATTACTTCAACTATATAGTTCCAATCTTTTGCATATCTAACTGGCTCCCTCCTTTTTTGTCCATTAGAAATTGCTTGTATGATTGTTCTTCCAGGTAACAATTTTGAATTAAATATACTATTTAATCACCTACTACTTAGACACATTCATTTGCCTTTGCTAGAAATAGGGCAGTAAACCTTTTAGGATGCTATTCACTCATAACAAAGTTTTGTAGTTATCTTTTTTTTATTTTTCTTCTAGTGAATATTATTGTCTTTTATTGTATGGACTATATGGCTTTCTCTCCAAGATCTTATAATGAGCATCAAATGACATATTAAGGTGTATTTGTTATGCCGGTCCAGGCTCCGATTCGTATCAGTATTTTTATTTATTTGTGTATCTGTGTCATTTATTGTTCTTCTAAAGATTTTCCTTTAGTTGGGATTTTTCTGTATATAGAAATTTGATTAATTGCTGTGAGAAAAATAGTACTTTCATTGGATTTTTTCTTATATTTGCTATCATGTAGGATCCTAGTTCCCATATATATTTTTTTCTTTTTTGTAATTTGAATGTAATTTTGTTGAAAATTTGACATCTCAATACCATGCATGGATCTAATAGTCTGGAAAATTATGTGCCTATGATAAAAAACATAAAAACATCCCCGTGTGAAAAAACTTCCAATCACTTTGTATGTCCCCTTCAACTAACAATTTTAATATTCGGTTATTTTCTACTTATGTATTTAGGATGAGCATGGAAATAAGATGGTGAATGAATATGTTCGGGAATGCAAGATTGGTTCTGGTAGTTATGGAAAAGTGGTATGTTTGCTAGTTCCTAAAGAGATTATTTAGATTTTTTAACGTTTTATGTGAAATGTCCTCTTTTCAATTTGATAGGTATTGTATCAAAGTACTGAAGATGGGAAAAAGTATGCCATTAAGGTATTTTTGGTTCTTTTCATTTCTTTTATGACATTGAGTTATTTTATGCTAGTGTGCTATGCAATGACTTAGAAGCATAAACGATGAACTTCTCTCCATGAAACATCTTGTTTCTTTTTCATTATAAATTCTTGTACCATATGCTCATATAGTTAGCCTTGGCCTTTTAATTTCTTTTGGTCTATTGTTATTGTGGTCAATGACGATTCTTGCTTTATTAGTTGGAAATTTGCATGTCTTATTATGATATTTTCATTTGACGAAAAAGAAATTACTAGTCTCGATAATGTTTCCTTTCTTAGACAAGGACGACGACGCACCTTGTTTTGTGAACAAAGGCCATTAGAATTGCAAAACCCATGCACCAGTGCCTTTTTTGTTGCAGTTGCTTTCTAGTTGCATATTGTTGGAAGCCATTAGTTTAAGGGTATTCAACCTTGCTCAATCTTTGCAAATAACGAAGGTTTAGCTTGGTAGACATCCCCTCTTTGACTTTTATAAACAGAAAAATTATCAAGCTTGAATAAATACATAAACTTGTTTAATAGATAAACCGCATATAAGCAATGATCAGCTCAATTTGAATAAATACATAAACTTGTTTAATAGATAAACCACATATAAGCAATGATCAGCCATTTTTTCTTGAACATTGATGCACATGCTCAAACACACACACACTCTCTCTTCAGTATTGTTGTTAAGGTTGCTCTGATGTATCTAAAATGGCTCACCAAATCTTATGTTTTTTTATGAATACTCATCCATGAGATTATGAATTAGTAACAAGATTAAATTTTTATCCATTCAAAAGGAAAATCCCATTGCACTAAACTTTGATTGTTTTGCTCACAACTAAATACATATCACTATTTTCCTTGTTTTCTTCTCAAATAAATGGTTCATAAGCACTTCAACTTCCTGAAAACCATTGTGTTTATCTTTTATTCTACTCGTTGACAAACAAATTGTGCTCGAAAAGATTGTTTGTACTTATTCATCATGAGCTACAATGCGTTTAACTTGATTGCAAATGCGTTGGTTCCAATATGGAAATATATCCTCAAGTTTTTCTTTTTATACCCTCTATTATCTTGTTTAAATTTTGGTATTTAGGTAAGAGTCGTACTAGAAATGATTTAGGTATAATTATAAATAAGATTTTGAAAGATAGTGCTGCAAAAAAATTAATAGAATTGAAGGTAACATTATCGTCATAAAGTAGATCTTTGTTGATATTAAGATTCTTAATGTTATAAGTGTTTATGGCTTCTAATGTAGGTTTAGATATACGTTCAATTTGGATATATATTAAAAAAAATTAGAATGAACTATAAAAATTAATACAAATGACACCTCTTGAAGAAATAATTTTTACTATAGGAGATTTAAATGAAAATGTTGGTAGAGTGGTAGAAAAAATATACATGGTGGCTACGATTTTGAAGTGTTTAATGAAGAAGGCAGAATCATATTGGGTTTTGTTTTAGCTTATATTTTTGTTATTACTAATATTTTATTTAAGAAAAGAAATGAATATATTATAATTTATAAGATTGGATCTAATAAAATACAAATTGATTATTTTCTTATGAGAAAAAGAGATTTTTGAGAATGTAAAGATTATAAGGTCATTCCACGTTAAAATTTAAGTACTTAACATCGATTAATTCTATTAGAATTTAAGGCAAAGAGTTGAAAGATAAAAAATATAATGAAATATTATCTTAAAATTGGATGGGCACATTTTTTTTTAATTGGATGGGAGCACTTAAATAATAAATAAAAGTATTTTCATGAGCTAATTTCAAGATTTTAAGATTTGAGATGTTCATAAAGAAGCTAAATTTATTTGGGATAAAGTAATAAGTACTATTAAACTAGTGACAAAAGACGTATTTGAAATATCAAAAGGAAATATTTTTATAAATAAAAATAGTTGGTGGTGTTATAATAATGCGCAAGAAAAAATAAAATATAAGAAATTTTGTTATAAAAATTGTTTTGAATGTAAAGACACAGAGAATTAGAAAAATATAAGGTAGCCCGTAGCGAGTCTAGGAGAATTATTTGTGATGCTAAGAATTTTGTTTTTAGTGATCTTTATAATAGATTTGATATTAAAGAGGGTAAAAAATATATGTATAAACTAGTCAAATAAAGCAAAAAGAAAAGAAAAGATTTAACTCACATAAAATATTTTAGAGATGAAAATAAAAAGTATTTTTCTTAGATGACGATCTTCAACATAGGTGGGCGAAATATTTTAATAAACTTTTCAATGAAGTTTTTGTAGATATGATCACTTCTAGTGATCTTAATGTCATTAATAATAATTAGATTTTTTATTTTTACTGTCACATTAGTAAAAAAGTTGAGAAGGTTTTAAAGAAAATCAAAGGTTAAAAACCAGTAAACATGATGGTATGCCAATAGAAGTGTGGAAATATTTAGTGGATTTCAAATTTTCTTTGCTTACTAAACTTTTTGATGTTATTTTAAAAGCTGAAAAGAAGCTTGACGAGGGAAGAAGAGTTTTTTGGTCGGCTTTTTTAAGAATAAAGGTGATGCAAAAGAGTATGCCAATTATCGAGGTATTAAGTTAATGTGTCTTATATTAAAATTATATGATAGAGCAATTGAACGTAGGTTAAGACATGATATAAATATTTCTCATAATCAGTTTGTATTTATGTTAGGCAAATCTACTATGGAAGCTATACATTTATTTAGAGAATTGATGGAGAAGTATAGAGGGAGTTAAGGAGTATCTAATTATTTTTATTGATTTAGAAAAAGCTTAAGATAATATTTCAAGAGAAGTTCTTTAGAGAGTTCTAGAAAAGAAAGGTGTTAATATGATTTATATTCAAGTCACTAAAGATATGTACACTAGGTCTGTTACTTGTGTTTAAACATGAGAATTGACCAAGTATTTTCTTATTTTCTTTGGAGTAATTTTGGGATTGATTTTAAGCTTGTAACAACCAATTTAAAAAAAAAAACAATAACTTACCAATATGAGTCTCGTTTTGTGGAGACGTTTCATGTGAGGGAAAACAAAATGAAACATTCCTCCCTTTCTCGTTTCCTTAAAATTTTTCCATGAACAATAATTTTGGACGAGAAATAGAGAGCAGGACAAAAAAAGTGAGGGGGAGAGAGAGAGAGGGAGAAGGGGACGAGGCAGTGAAGAAGAATAGAAGAAGCGTGTGCCTAACTGAAGAAGAAGAAGAAGAAGAGGAAGAAGAAGAGTTGTGGGTGACTTACTTCATTATGGAAGAGTAGGCAGGGGTGCGTATGTGAAATCCTAGTCAAGGTGAGCACCAAAAATGCATACGGGTGTTTGGGTGGGGAGGAGTAACGTCGCAGATGAGGCAAGAAGAAGAGCAGATGTTTCGTGTCTGTGAGAAAGTGGAGTTGGTGTCAAAGTAACGCTGCTCGTCTCTTGCCACAGGCTCATTTGAGTGAAGAAGAAGAGGAAGAGAAGAAGGAAGCAACGACTTGTGCTTAAGATTGGCATCGTTCTATGAGAAGGAAGCCCATGTCCTATATGGTTGAAGAATAAGGAGAAGAACAAGACGTACGTCCGAGAAGGGGAGTCGATCCTAGTGTGTGGGACAAAGCTCATTCGAGCTTTAGGGACGACGAAAGGTTATATTAGGTAAGTTAAGATTTTAATTAAATTAATTATGAAAATTATATATAATAATAATAATAATAATAATAATAATAATAATAATAATAATAATAAGAATAATTTAATGTTAATAAAAAGTTTGATTTTATTAGGATCAGAGCTATTAAATCCAGAATCCGAGGGAGTGTGGTGATTCGAATTTCCTGTACAGAAAAACGGAAGAATCGTGAGCGTGAAGGGAGGTGGCCTATCTTGTACATGAGAAGCGGAGGAGGCCAAACTGTGTTATTTAAAGTAAATGACAAAATAATTTATTTATTTAATGTTTTATGATTTTGTTATACTAATATGCTAGTTAAGTATTCAATTAGATTCTTGTTAATTAATGTTAGAAAATTAAAGTGGAGAAAATTTTATATTGTTGAACGAGGAGTTTTGAAGCAGTGAAGGTGTTAATTTGAAGGAGGCGGTAGAAGTCGAGAACAAAAAAATCATTTAGAATCAATGTGAGTAATTATATTTCTGAATTTCAATAATGTTCCTCATTTTTATATATGTTTGACTTCATCTATGATCTATTCCAGTGATATGTAGATTATAGTAGATTCTTCATATTATTAGATAGGAAAATACAACAACAACAAAACCATTATCACACTAAGTGGGGTCGGCTACATGAATCCTTTTTCTCCATTGCGTCCTATTTAGTGTCATATTTTCACTTAATTCTAATAAATTAATATCATTTTTTGTACAATATGCCCAAGTCTTCCGAGGTCTACCTCAGCCTTTCTTAATATAAGTCGAATCTAAAACATCTACTCTTCTAATCAGATCATCAGATGGTCGACGTTTAATGTGACCAAACGACCAAACCATCTATCTAAAGACGATTCTCTCTAATTTTGTCCGTCACTGGAGCTACACCAACCCTATCACGGATATATTTATTTCGCATTTTGTCGCTAAGTGTAATGCCACTCATTCACCTAATCGTTCTCATCTTGGCAACACTTAACTTAGTTTTATGCTTCTCTTTTAAAGTCCAACATTCAATTCCATAGAGTATTGCAGGTCTCACCACCATCTTATAAAATTTTCCTTTCAGTCTAATTTCTATCACACAATAGGCCTGAAGCATTCTTCCTCTTCAACCAATTTGAATTCTACTAATAACATCCCCATCAATATCACCATCACTTTGAACAATAGACTAGAGATATCTAATGCGTTTACACCTTTTAATAATTTAATCGCCTATAGTTGCATTTTGTCACTAGTGCTACAACTACTAAAATTACATTCTATATATTCAGTTTTAGTTATACTCAAAAGAATGCCTTTAGACTCCAAGTTAGAC